CTGTTGCCCATCATGCAATGGCACAATCATAGGTCACTGCAGCCTCCAACTCTGGGGTCAAGTGATCCTTCTACCTTAGCTTCCCAAAGTGCTGGATTATAGGCATGAGCCACTGCATATGGCCCAGGAATCTTTTCTTAACCATATGCTTGATATTATAAACTTTGCCATTTAAGCAGAGTCTCATGTTTTAAAAATTATTTAAGTGTAGTTAGTCTGTGGCTTCAAGAATCTAAACATCTCCGCCGGGCACGGTGGCTCATGCCTGTAATCCTAGCACTTTGGGAGGCCAAGGTGGGCAGATCACCTGAGGTCAGGAGTCCAAGACCAGCCTGGCCAACATTACGAAACCCCATCTCTACTAAAAATACAAAAAGTAGTCAGGCATAGTGGTGGGTGCCTGTAATCCCAACTACTTGGGAGGCTGAGGCAGGAGAATTGCTGGAACCTAGTTGGCGGAGGTTGCAGTGAGCCAAGATCACGCCATTTGTGTTCCAGCATGGGCAACAGAGCAAGATTCCTTCTCAAAGGAAAAAAAAAAATCTAAACATCTCAAATAACACCCAAGCATAAAAATTAGCCCCTTGCTTTTCCAGTCTGTATATGCCTTGCACAACAGCCTGGTGTGTCGGCAGATTTGCCAGATTGAGGGTGAAATGTGTCATGTGCAGGTGTCCCTCGATGTGTCGATGTCTAGGAAAAAAAAAAGTCTTTATTCCTTCGTTTTCTGAACAATGGTTGGTGGCCAGTAAGTTCCTCATTCTAACAGATGATGACAAAGGGGAGGAGGTTGTTCTCTTAAAGAATTCTCCTTCCCTCCCACCATCCACGATGCTGGACAGCTGCGAGCAGAAAGCGCTCATGAGAACACAGAGTATCCGCGCCTCCTGGGTGGGAAGTCTGCTCTGCGGTGGCTGCGGCCGCGTAGTCCTGCCATCATCCTTGGCTAGGGCATCGGTCAGGTCTTTGCTCAGAAGCTATGGAAGCAGCTGTTGGAGGCAGCACGGCTTCCTCCTCTGTGCTCCTTCCTCGTGTATCTGTTGCTGTTGGGCGTCTCTCTTCCCCCCCTGCATTTGTTTCCAAGCGCATCATGATCACCAGAAGACAGATAGTTTACCCATCTCTGATTGGTTCAGAAATATTTGTATTTTGTTGGTCTGTGTGACACAGATAAGACACAACACCAAAAAGAACAAGAAATGTCCATTCTTTTTCAAATTCTTGACACAAATACATAAATTTCCATCCCCAATATTGTCATTTACTTGTTAATAATTTAGAACTTTTCCCCCGTAACAACCATGCTGTTATCCAAAGCAGAAATCTTTTATTTTATTTTTATTTATTTATTTTAGAGACAGGGCCTCACTCTGTTATCCAGGCTGGAGTGCAGTGGTGCAGTTATAGCTCACTGCGGCCCCCACCTCTGGGCACTTAGCACGGGACAGGAGGTTGTGCTCTCAAGCTTGCCCTGAGCTCCCAGCGCCTCTGTGCCATTGGACATCTGGTTCTGTAGAGTGACCAGGTCAGCCTGCTGTGCCATCTTGCTGAAGAGCTTTGCAGATTCCTATGATCTGGAATCCAGGGCTTCTACCCGCTAGCTTGGCACTCCCCTCCTGACACATGCTTTCAGCTCTGCAGAGGGGAAGCTGGTCAGGCGTTGCTGTAGGAGCCTTCTCTGCCTCATGGACACTTTCCATCAGGCCACAAGGCTGGCCCTGGAGGGTCCTTGGAGATGCCGGTGCTTCTCATGCCATCTGTGCTCACCTGGCCACTTGGACCAGAGTTCTAGCTCAGGAAGAGCAAGCCTCCTAAATCAGAAAGGCATTAACTGTGGTCAGTGGCTCCCTTCTGTCAGTTCTCCTAATACAAGAGTCTAAGATACGTGCTCTTAGCGGTCACAGCGGACAATTCATTGCCCTGTCATCCAAGGGCAGACCCTCCCTGGCTTTGTAATTCTGTCTCTCGTTTTCTTGCCTCATTGAGGATCAACATAGCAAAGAAATGATATGCAGATTTATTTATTTGGCTCTTGTTTTAAAAAAATAAAAATTACAAGCATGGTGGCTTACACCTGTAATCTCAGCACTTTGGGAGGCCAGGGTAGGCGGATCACGAGGTCAAGAGAGCAAGACCATCCTGGCCAATATGGTGAAACCTGGTCTCTACTAAATACAAAAATTAGCTGGGTGTGGTGGTGTGTGCCTGTAGTCCCATCCACTCAGGAGGCTGAGGCAGCAGAATCTCTTGAACCCAGGAAGCAGAGGTTGCAGTGAGCAGAGATTGTGCCACTGCACTCCATCCTTGGTGACAAAATGAGACTCTGTCTCAAATTAATTAATTAAAATAAAATAAAAACCTGATAGGAAGTGTGGGGGAGTTGGAGACCAAAGCCACTTGTGGGGATTATCTGTGGAGTGCGCCCCTCACTGCCACAAGCAGAGACACTTAGCAGTGGTTTGTATACCTTCCTGTTCTTGCTCCAATATGTGTATTGTCAACAGGATGAAATAAATTTTTCTGCAAAAGAACTTTCATTTCTCTGCAAAAGAACTTTCCTTTCCAACCAGTGTGCCACACGCAGCCCAGGACAGCTTTGAATGACACCCAAAACTAATTCGTAAATTTTCTTAAAACATTATGAGATTTTTTTGTTGTTGTTGCAATTTTTGATATTTAACTCATCAGCTATTATTAGTGTCAGTGTCTTTTATGTGTGGCCCAAGACAACATCTTTCAGTGTGGCCTGGGGAAACCAAAAGATGGGACAGCCATGTAAACCTAGACTGATGATGCCCTCACCTTAGCAGACAGTATGTTTGCGTGAAAGGAGCTGGAACAAGGATCAGGTTGACCTGGTTTCAACTCTCAGCTCTTTCCTCTCTAGCTGTGTGATGTGGGACAAGTTACTTAACTTCTCTGAGGCTCATTTTTCTCAGGTGCACATAATGATAGTTGTCAGAGTTTAAAGGATTGCAGTAGAAAACGTTTACAAATGACTCACCCAGGACCCACTTGATGGCAGACACTTAATATAAGTTAGGTCTCTTCTGAAGGGAAGTTTGAGTGGATGCCACATTTCCACTGGGCCAAGTTACCTGACCTCTCACCTCTGTGTCCTCCCTTGTAATTTTGGAATAATAGTGATCACTCTTCTAGCACTTCTCCTCAAGGATTGTTGGGGTGAGTGACTACATCACAAAAGAAGACCTAACTCAGCATCCAACAACTGCCTTCTCAGCTCTAGCTATTTTTATTTTCTCTATCCTTAAAAATTTTCTGGAAAGTCTGTGCTAAAGACACTGCCATTAGATGTGTTTGTGGGCAAAGGAGATCTTACTCAGATTCACTGCCTCATTTTGTATTTATCTACGCCTTGCACTAACATAGACTGAGTGCCAGCTATGTCAGATGCTGCTGGTCACCAGACTGAGTGGGTAGCCAGTGCTGGGTGATGGCCATGGGCCAGGAGTTAGGATGAGTATAAACAAGCCCCAAGGCCAGGAACAGGGAGTCAGGATCAGCATAGAACAAGCCCCAAGGCCAGGAACAGGGAGTCAGGATCAGCATAGAACAAGCCCCAAGGCCAGGAACAGGGAGTCAGGATCAGTATAGAACAAGCCCCAAGGCCAGGAACAGGGAGTCAGGATCAGTATAGAACAAGACCCAAGGCCAGGAACAGGGAGTCGGGATTAGTACAGAGCAAGCCCAAGCCCCTGTCGCGGATGACTCTTGATGAAGAGTGCTTTAGAACCAAGAATGCAAGGTTGAATTCCAGTTTTTTTGTTTCACAAATGAGATGAGAAAATGAAATGAATATGCTGACACCCTGCCCAAACCTTAGAGAAGGAATTAGGAGCAGGCCCGAAGCAGGATTTTCAGAGGGTAGGCCTTATCTCTGAGCTCCATTGTACCATCAGCTCCAGGAAGGCCCAGGGAGGGGCTTCACCTTTTCGACCCCACAGTGCCTAGTAAGGCCCTACACAGAGGCCAGAAATGCTGCCTTGAGGTGACGTCACAGACTCCGGACCCCCAAATGAGTATTTCTTTTTATATCAGCCCGACCTGAGTTACTCTTAGTACAGCACTGCCATAAAATAGCTATGTGTTATGTGTTGGCTGACTGATTGAGTTTCATCGGTAGTCCCCCCCCAGCCACACACATACCCCTTAAGTATTTATTTACATTCTTTAGATACTGTAGAGTCTTCATGTTTTTTCCTAATTAAAAATGCCTATTGAGAGCAGTGACTCATACCTGTAACCCCAGCATTTTGGGAGGCTGATGTGGGAGGATTACTTGAGGCCAGGAGTTCAAGACCAGGCTGGGTAATATTACGAGACTTCATCTCTTAAAAAACAAAAGAAAAGAAAAACTAGCCAGGCATGGTGGCATGCACCTGTGGTTCCAACTACTTAGGAGGCTGAGGTGAGAGATTTGCTTATGCTCAGGAGGTCAAGACTGCAGTGAGCCCTGATTATACCATTGCACCCCAGCCCAGGCAACAAAGCAAGACCCTGTCTTCCTTTAAAAAAGCCAACGAATAAGGCCGGGCGCGGTGGCTCATGCCTGTAATCCCAGCACTTTGGGAGGCCGAGGCGGGTGGATCACGAGGTCAAGAGATCGAGACCATCCTGGTCAACATGGTGAAACGCCGTCTCTACTAAAAATACAAAACATTAGCTGGGCATGGTGGTGCGTGCCTGTAATCCCAGCTACTCAGGAGGTTGAGGCAGGAGAATTGCCTGAACCCAGGAGGCGGAGGTTGCGGTGAGCCGAGATCGTGCCATTGCACTCCAGCCTGGGTAACAAGAGCGAAACTCCGTCTCAAAAAAAAAAAAAAAAAAAAAAAAGCCAACGAATAAAGTGGGTCATGCCTCTCTACTCAGTTTTTATACTCACTGAAAGCTCAGGCATCATCAGATAGCAAACCCCAAAACTGTCTTCAGTCCGAGGCATGTAAATTGTCAGGCTGTGCCTTTTCTTTGTCTTTCTGCAGCTCCTGAAGTCCTCGCTCAGAAACCTTACAGCAAAGCCGTTGACTGCTGGTCCATCGGGGTGATTGCCTATATCTTGTAAGTACTGCCTGCTGCCTTGGCTTCCTCCTCTACTGGCCATTTTTTGATGGTTTGATGAAATATACATGAAACAAAATGTACCACTTTTAAGGGTGCAGTTGAAGGGTTCAGTTCAGGGCCAAGTTTGAGGCTTCAGTTCACTGGCATTGAGTCCATTCACAGTGTTGCACAACTACCATTGCTATTCACTTCTAGAACTTTTCTGTCACTCCACACTGAAACTGCATCCCTTAAATAAAAACTCATTTTTGGCCAGGCATGGTGGCTCACACCTGTAATCCCAGCACTTTGGGAGGCTGAGGAGGGCAGATCACGATGTCAAGAGTTTGAGACCAGCCTGTCTCTACTAATAATACAAAAATTAGCCAGGTGTGGTGGTGCATGTCTATAATCCCAGCTACTCGGAAGACTGAGGCAGGAGAATCACTTGAACCAGGGAGGCAGAGGTTGCAGTGAACCAAGATCACACCACTGTACTCCAGCCTGGACAACAGGAGCAAAACTCCATCTCAGAAACAGCAACAAAACCCTCCTTTTCCCTTCTCCCCTATCCCCTGAGAACCTCTGTACTACTTACTGTCTCTATGAACTTGACTCTTCTGGGGACCTCATATAAGTGGAATCACACAGTATCTGTTCTTTTATTTCAGGCTTATTTCACTTAGCAAAACCTTCAAGGCCCATCTGTGGTGTGGCATGGGTCAGAATTTCCTTCCGTTTTAAAGCTGAGCAATACTCCGTCGTGTGGATAGACCGTGTTTGTTTATCTTCGTGGTCCATCGATAGACATATGGGTTGTTTCCACGTTTTGGTATCATGAAGAAGGCTTCTGTGAACACGGGTGTAGAAATATCCCTGCTTTGAGTCCCTGCTTTCACTTCTTTGGGGTTTGTGTCTAGAAGTGGACTTGCTGGGCCATGCGGCAGTTCTACATTTAACTTCTGAGGAGCCACCGTACGGTTTTCCACAGCAGAAGCAGCACCTCCAGTTTACATTCCCAGCAGCAAACACGAGCGTTCCAGTTTCTCCACATGTACACCAACACTTGTCATTTTTATTTTTTTTGACAATAGCCTCCCAATGGGTATGAAGTGGTGTCTCATGGGGCTTCAATTTGCATTTTTCTAATAGCTAATTAAGCCTCTTTTCAGGCACCACTTTAGCTTTTTGGTGGATACAAACCCCTATTAGTACATCTCCCAAAGAAATCATAATGAGAAAAATGTAGTGAAAATCTAAATTTCACCTTTGGAGTTCTCATTTCTTCTCAGCTGCTTTATCTCCATAACCCAGGAAACACAATTCTGGGACATGGGCTTGTTACAGTTACTTCAGGATCATCAGTTCTGTTTCTTGTTTGTTTTATTTGTTTTGCTTAAGTCTAATGTTATTTTTAAATTACAGTTTCTTTTTGAAGTTATACTTTCAAATGCTTATGATGGAACATACTTTTAGGGTAGGCTTAGGCCAACTTGTTCTGCAGTTGCTAGGCAATGAATTTCCCCATTTCATCATCCCCAAGGAGGGAACATTTCCTTGCAGAAAGAGCCCCCTGGACACCATGCAAGACTGCAGGGGCTGGTGATTGGAGAACATTCTGGCAGTGTGAGGCATCCTCCTCCTCTCCTCCAGGAATGCTGGAAACATCCCCCCTCCCCCGCATTGCCTTTGCTGCATTCTCTGAGAAGCAAATGGCCCTTCTCCAGCATTCAGCTGGGCCATGTTTGTAGTTCAGTGTGGATTTAGGTGACAGCGCTTGTACATTCTTGCCATTATCACAGGAGAATTTCATCCATTGCAATATACTTGGCCTAAAGGACTCTTGTTTATGGAAATAGGTAAAGGGCAGATCCATCTGAGCTTTAAAACTAACATTGCACTTACAGAATACTTTCCCTTTCAAAGGACGTTGATCCCCTTTTGCAGTTTTATCCTTTTGAGGTGTGTTTCAAAAGATGTGTTGAGAATCTAATCAAAGTCATGGACCCTGTCCCCTAATCAAATCACTTGTGTGCATGTGTGCACACACACAGACACACACAATTTTGCATACCATTTTCTCAGGGGATGTGGTCATTGTCCTGGGTAAGCAGACACTGGGCATGAGCCCTGTATTAGTCACCCTGGCTCTCTAAGTCCTCAACTAAACATCTTACCAGAGGCCCTGCCTCACCCAGCTTGACTATGGAAGGCTTGAAGAAATAAATGCTAGGGCAGGCCTCTTCCTGCAAAGAACTGAAGCTGGTATCAGTCTAGAGAAACCTTCCCTGGGGCGGAGGAAGAGTAGCCCTTTTTCTGGCCTTCTGGTTATTTGTTCCTTTATGTCTATCTGCACCTTGAGCCTTTACTCTGGTCTGCACTAATGTCTGTGACCTCCCTTTGGGTTTGTTTGTACAGTTATTTCCCTGAACTCGTGGCCTTAGGGTAGGGTATTGGCACTGCTCTGAGTAGGTACATGTTGACGGATGTTTCTTAGAATGACGGAGAAAAGCAATTTAAAGCTAAGCAATGATGTCTTAGTCAGATCAGGCTGCAACAACAAAATGCCATGTGGTGTAAACAACAGGTATTTATTTCTCATGATCTGGAGGCTGGAAGTCCAAGATCAAGGTGTCGGCCAATTCATTTCCTGGCAAGGGCTCTTTTCCTGACTTGGAGACGGCCGCCCTCTTGCTGCATCCTCACGTGCTGTAGAGAAAGTACAGAAGAGCAAGCTCTCTGGTATCTTATCTAAATCAGTCACTGGCAGAGGAAACAGGATCATCACGCTTGGCCAAGCTGACAGTGGGGAGAAGCCCTGAGTGGTAGCACAGTTCTTCTAGTGAAGAAGGCAGGAAATGGGTTGGTAGTAGGCAGCTAACCACATCTGCCATAGACCATAGGTAGGGAGGCGTTGGAAAGAGGGCCAGCGTGTCTAGAGGTGGTATCAAGACAGGACACCGAAGGTGACACAGGAGAAGTTACCTAGTGCGAGAACAGAGAGAGACTGGGTAGAGTGTTTGGATTTTAACCCAAGGTCAGTGGGAAGGGTTTTGAAAAGTGGTGTGATCTGACCTGACTTACATTTGAGAATTATTCCAGCCGTGCTGAAGAAAGTATTGGAAGGCACATGTGGAAGGTGGAAACCGAGTGGGAAGCTCTGGCGAGAGGTGCTTTTCCTGTTAAGGCACTGGCTCTGGGGAGAGGTGGAGAGATCTCAGATCTGTTGTGGATGTGGAGGATGAAGGAGGGGGAGGCTTCAAGTCTCAATCCAAGATTTTGACTTTATACTGTGTTGATGGTTAAGAAAAAAGAGGAATGGTAGAGGAGTAGATTTAGGAGGGCGGGTGAGATCAGTAATTTGGTTTTGGACACGTTACGCTTGAGACCTTTGGGAGATACCCACAGAGTGGTGTATGCATGTATGGAATTCAGGATAGAGATACAGGCGCGTGCTTCTGAGTGTGATTTGACGGGCGGGGCACCCAAACCCTTATGATTTCCATATACACTGAAATATTTGCCACGGTTCAAGTATAGTATTAAGCAAAGACATGCCATATTTCTTTGAGTATAAATTTGGTCAGTTTCCACGTGATGGTTTCCCGGCCACACTAGCTTTGCCCCAGACTAGTCCCAGATCGATTTCATGACTGTGTCAGCCTTCAAGATGGCAGCCTGGGCTTCTGTGTTCCTTGGTGCCTTCCGGAGTTCTGTAAGTCCCAAGCAGAGAATGAATGGACTCTTGGCATCTCAGTTGTATTCTGTAAGATGTTCAGACTCATATGGGTGATAGGTCAAATCCTGGCTATGTTTTAGTACATGACAGGGCTGCACTTGGAGAAGCACCAGCTTCGAATTTGTTATCAGTAGATTAACCTCCTTTCTCACCATACAGATGGCTGGTATTCTGATGAGAGACATCGAGTCTCTGTCATCTTTATGTTTCACACCTAGCATGGTGCCTGGAATGGAGAAGGTCATCAAGAAATGCTGGTTGTTGACACTGAGAATGACAAGCTTGAGGCTGGAGGTCTGCTCTACGGGGAGGGCCGTGCACAGCTGCAGGGGGTCACAGAATGCAGTGGTCACTGAGGACAGGGATAAGCACCATCATGGTGGGTCTAGAACGTTAGATAAGCAGAGAGATGAGAGCATCCGACAGGAGAGGGGAGGGAGCCAAAGACAGGGGCAGGGTGCCGCAGCCATTTGAGGCTCGCAAAGCTATCCTGTGACCGTTTTATAGCGGGGATTGGGGTCGATGTCAGAGGTTGGCCCTGGACTGAAGCAACGTTAGATGCTGGAACTCATGTGTCTCCGTCTCGGACTCTTTCTCCTTCCCGCGGCTCCACTGTGCCTGGTCTCCCATTCCTAACTAAAGATTTATACGCAAGGCCACCGAGCAGGCCTTGACCAGCAGGCAGCATGCCAGGGAGGCCGCCTCCCCACAGGGAAGGCACGCAGCTCCTCATGCTTCCCAGCCACTGTAATGGAAAAGAGCTCAGCCCCTGCAGTGCTTTGGAGCGCAGCATTCTAGTTTTTGTTTGATAGACCTGTCACGCTGAGCTGTCAGACCTCAGCCACAGTGGCCGTGACAGGCTATGGCACCAAGTTTTCTCGTGCACGCATGCCATGTAAACATTCCTCCTTTAGCTGATGCGAGCACTTGATAAGTTGGCCCTCTTTCGGTGTCCACTTATCTGCTATCCATCATTTGGAGGGAGAAATACTTTTTCCTACCAAGGACACTCATTTTAAAAACCCATGTGATGGGTTCTTATCCTGCCAGGAATCTTCCCTTGGGGATCCGGACTTGCAGAAAACATCTTTGCCTGAAAAGCTTACGCTGCCGGGAAGGCCAAGGACAGCGTGGGTTGGGCTTTGTGATAAGCGTGTTGGTGTCTGGTGTGACGGACTTGGCTCAGCCAAGACAGCGCAAGGTCCAAGGCACAAATGTCCTCAGTCAAGATGAACCTGAGCCTCTCACAGATCGATCTTGATTTTGTGATAACATGCAG